ATTTATATATTAATATGTGCTTTTCGAAATTCGTATTGAATGTCGGATTTATAATTCGGAGATTTGTATAACCTGTCTTGATTCTGAATCTCATCCGGGGTACAACATATATATTCATATGTATCGACAGAGTGAATTGGGCCTAAATGAGCGTCCATGGATTTTAAAAATATGGTTCGTAAAACGGACCCTAAATTTTATTCTACCCTGCATAGTCGATCTGATACTGTAAATGTAATTTGAAGATCTATCTGTAATTTGAAGATCTATAATTATCGATAAATGTAATTTGAAGATCTATAACTATCGATAAATGTAATTTGAAGATCTATAAATTTCGATGTAACGGTCAAACGGAATAATTAGAATAATTAATATTTCCGTATCATGAATAACTTAATATTTTTGTCATGAATAATACACGAGATTTCAATTTTTGTACGCGCAGACAATGAAAGTTATATAAAATAGTATGAGCGGGGACTAAAAGCCCTTTGGTGACAGAATAAAGCACTTAACTGCAATTATGCCTAAATGCCAAAGTATCAAGAAATCTTACACGATCGATCATACATTCATAATTACCACGGCCACTTCACATAGTGGTAAACTTAAAAAATTCTCAAATGCGTTCATGGTCTATAGAACAGCTACTCATCATTATCTTAAATCCAAAAATCTCGCTTATTCTTGCTCTATTGTCTCAAAACTAGCAAGCAAGTTGTGGAAAAAAGAATCAGAAAATATTAAGTACATATGTAAACTGTTAGCTGACGAAGCTAAAAAAAACGCAAAAGAATCTGGAAAGTCTCAGCCTATCCAATCCACATCAAATTCGAACCGCGTTTGGTCGAAGTTTCCACCCGTTGTTAATAACTCATATATTGAACTATTGTTTAATAATTATAAGCGTATTCAAAAGTTAGAAAAAGAACTTTCTGATACGATTGAAGTTATAGCTTTAATCAAAAAATTACTTTCTACAGTATAAATGACATTAAATTAGCAGTATTCTTAAAAGTATTATCGATATATTGTGTTTATTTTTTCTTTGCTTTAGGCCAAGCTATTTGATACTTTTACTTATATAATGCATCTTATTACTTGTTAACTTATAAATAAATGAATTTTTTATATGATAGTAAGTGGGGATGGCAAATGTTCTTATTACGTAATTAAAAACAGGTGAAGATAAATTAAAAAACAGGGGAGCATTATTTAAATCAGTATTCGGACTTTAGTCATCACATGTTTTAAATAGGTGAAAAATGGTGAAAGATACAGCGTGTAGGGGGATTTGTCCGCACACGTCATTATCAATGCACTTCTTATTGCTCATT